TGCCGCTCAGGTGCGTCCGCCTCCCCTGCAGCGGCGCTGCAGACCACGCTCCGCCACACACATTAACCAGGTAAAATACATATTTAGGCAGAATATTGCAAATATCTATTTTTTTTATATATTTTAGCAGCATAGTGCTTTTTCTTATTTTCTTTATTTTTTAAAAGTCAGGTCAAGGCTCCAAAAGCCCAAAGGCGATATAAGGGTGGCGGCTCACAACAGCTTTTGTTTGCTACATGGATCATTTTAGTTCAGCTGGGTGTCTTTCCTTTTGTTATATTTCTTTAAGAGTTCAAAATGTGTTAATTACATAAATAAAATGTAATTTTCTCTGTAGCACTTCATGGATTTAAGCAACACGCCTTAGTTGTTCACACAAAGCATAAAGGTAAAAAAAACAATATTACAGTGTTATCTTCATTTTAGATGTCAAAAAGTATTTGCGGCTCCCAGTGTTTTCTTTTGCGTGGAAATCGCGTCCAAATGGCTCTTTGGGTGTGAGAGGTTGCTGACCCCTGGTCTAGCTGTTCACTTAGGATTGTGAAAATATTGCGGTTTGACGAGTGCGTCACACGAGTATCACCTTTAAATTAAATGTAATATTTGATGACCTGAGGACCAGAACGGGCTCAAAAATGAAATCTTTAGGATAAAATGTCACTTTTCAGCCGTAACCTACACAAACAATAAACTGATCATAAAACAGTTGTTTTAGAATCCCTTGATTTAGTTATACATGAATTAAATAATATTCCTGATGAAATATAATTATGATTTCATTAATTATGTTTCTATTATTTGTCAAAAATTCAACAACTAAATTGTTTTAAACTATTGATTTTTCTACTTTCTGGCTTTCCACCTCCAATTTAATACTGAATGCAGATCTGTGAACACCATCGCAATGAGAACTTCATGAGACATTCAGAAACAGGACGTGAATCCCTGCATTTTTATCTGGCGTGAACATTTTTCAGATATCGAACATGAAAGATCATCTTCTGGCAACCTTAATTCAGAGACCCCATTTCCTCACTGCGCAACATTCCCAAGAGTAAGATAAAGGAGAGGAACAATGGCAGCTCTAAAAAAGGAATTACAGAACAAAAGGAAGAAATGAAGAAGGAGAAGATGGCAGGCCTATGTTGGATAGATTTTTTTGAGTTAGATTGTTCTTGTTTGGGGGCACTGACTGCTGCTGTGTTGGCCACGGGGCTGTAGTAAGGGGTTGTGGAGGAGGTGATGGAGGTGGGCGACTCGGCGGCGCTCCTTACAGCCAGATACTGCGGGGTGAGGCCGCCCAGGCCCGTCAGGCTCCCCCAGGTGGTCGCACTGTTGAGCTGCTGCATCTGCTGCGCCAGCTGCTGCTGCAGACGCCGCTGCTCCTTGTCCTTCTGTGTGTCGGCGAACTTCACCACGATGGGAGATGAGCAGCCCTGCGGAGATGGGAGGATGAGGAGGAGCGTAAAGAAGGGGAGGGAAAGAGAGGAAGAAAGGGAAAACGAGAAGGATGAAGAAAGGGAGAAGGGAAGAAGAGAGTGAGGAAGTGAGATAAAAAATAAAGAAGTGATAGAAGATGAAAGGGAAGTATAGAAAGGCCACAAGCCCCCAAAGATGAGAGGAAAGGAGACAAAAAAGAACATGAAAGGATGGAAGGAAATGAGAGAGGAGCCAAGATGAGAGAGAAGGGAGGAAGAGAAAAACAGAAATGGAGAAGCGAGGAAAGAGGAGAGGAGAGGAGTTCAGGCAGGAGAGGAAATGGGAGAAGAAAGAGAAAAGGAGTCAAAGGATTGTTCAGGTACTTTGTTGCTTGCAAACACACCTGTAATAATTGTTGTACTGAGTGAACACAATATGGGCAATAAGCCACATGTCTACAGTGATGATACACACCTGAAATCATCCACAAACATCTTTGTATTAACAAACTTAACTTCAGCAAAGAAAGAAAATATTCTCAATTAAAAAGTCCTCTCTTGTGCACACACACACACTCACACACTCACTCAGGGACACAGGACACGCACACACAGTCACACAGGAAACTTGAGTCTAAAGCCGGTGGGCTTTCTTCTTTCCCCCAAAAGGGCTCAGTTATCTCTGAGTCCAAAACGGTATCACCAGAAACAGATTTCCCGAGTTCTCCAACTATTTCATCATCTCATATGAAGAGAGACTTGATCTGTGTGTGTCTGTGTGTGAGTGTGTTAATATGTGTGAAAGAGGGGGGGAAAGACCTAGAGAGAGAGAGAGAGTGATTTGGGCGACTACGAAGAGAGGTTGAGAGGGCAAGAGAAAGATTTAGAGATTTTAACGGTCACTAGAACGGCATCTAATTGTTCGAATTCTTACGCCTCAGAGCAGCGGCAGTGTGTGTATGTGTGTGTGTAAGAGAGATGATTGTGTACGCACACTGAAGCTGGGTAACAAATCAGACGTCCAACACGCTTGCTAACAACTATGACACGAAGGAGACAAAAACCCACAACGCTCCTGATGAAAGCTGCGGTGCCGGCTGAAACGAAGCTGAGACGGCAAGTCATAATCTATCACACCACACCATTACTCACACAACGCAATCAAAGCCTAACTAGGGGCAAATCCGTTCAAAAACAAAGGCAATCTGCCACAGGAGGATAAAAACCTTTTGATTGAAACATTTAGTTTGAGGCTCGATTCCGCACTCGGCGGGGGAGAGAAGGGATTTGCCTACTTTGCAGATAGCGCTGCACACGTTTTGGAGCGGAGATGTGCTGTATGACGGTTGTGTGTGCCGGTGCAGGTATTTTGTGCAAGAGTGAAAGCGAGCGAGCGTTTGCCCTTCCTTCCTTCACTGTGGATCAGAGCATGTACTGTGAAACTAGCTTTTAGCATTCACACTTCAGTCAGGACCACTTTGGTAAAAATAACACCGTGATTTCCATTTGCATTTATTTAGATTTGGCAGTACCGGGTGTTCCAAAGTAATGAGTTTGTCGGACAAACCGGCCTTTTCATGCGTGTTTGCTGAACAGGTGTCTGAGATCATTTAGTGCGGGGCACAGGAAGAACGATCCCCAACATTTAGGGAGTGAAAATATGCACTTTACTTTAAATTTACTGAGTTTAGGGACAAGAATGCGACAGTAACATATAATCTGTACCCTTTCTGGACACAATTTTGCATTCCTGAAAAGAAAACCTGTCAGCCTCTGATGCTAACACGATGCTAGGAGTGAGATGCTAAAAACTGAGGGCATGCCAACCCCAAACAAGCAGCCCAAACTTGATTTTTAGGCCTCACCATTTTTGTGTTGATACTCATACATTTGGGCCATTTATCCCTTTGAGTCAACTTTCTTCTGATTGGCTGCCCTCTTACAAACAGATGGTCTAAACAGGAAGTGGAAAGTGCTTCTGTGCGCACAGCCAGAGCTGCATGCCTGAGATGTCCAAATAAGGGATATCCTCTCTGTGACATCATAGAGATCCAAGAGTAGAAAAAAAACTGTGAGAAGCCTGAGCTTTTGTCTCACAGGGCGTATTTGTACATACACTGATGTCACTATTTAAAGCTATGGCCATGTTTAATATGAGAATCCACCACTGTAATTACACGCAAGGCCTAAAAATTCATTGTTTTTTTTCCTAAATATCCTCCAAAATAATCAATTAATAATCATTAACACCTTTAGAAGCGTATGCCTACACTTTGACAGTATGACTGTCAAAAATAAAGAGTCTAGCCTAAAACTTTAATGGGAAATTAAATGAATTTCAAAGCCGAATTAATCTCTTACCAACATCACATCATCACAACTGATGGCTGTTGGCTTTTGCACCAAATATTATGCCTTTAATCTCGGTATAAATTGAGACACAGCATGGAATCATTTCGATATGACTTTAATTGGTTCAGCAGCTTCATTCTTATAACAAACACATTGAAGAATACAGATGCATGCTTTTTTTTTAAAGCTCTGTGTTTTCTCTTACTGTGAAATGCGACAATCTGACCAATGACAGAATACACATCACATCCTGAGCAACATTAAAAACTAGAGTTTCTGTGTAATTTAAAAGCAGACCTTCTTTGTCAGATAGAACATCCAGTGTATCTGCTTCCTTGTATGTGTATGTTTCCGTGTGTTACTGCCCCTCTTCTGTAGGCCGGGGCCTGACTTATCAGCTGAATGAGCTCGTCTCCTGTCTGTCGGCGGCTCGGCCATATTTACTCTGTCTCTCCACTGGTCATTTTGCCTCTTCATTCTGACCGCCGACAGATAAAGTAGAGGAGACGACGGGAGAATTGTATTGGGAGGGCGAGGGTTAGTCGGGGCCTCGCCGTTGGAGTCGATTCCCCCTGAGAACCGAGCTCCCTATCCCGCTCTGCTAAATATCTCATCACTCCAGTTGACACCTTGTGAGTGAGGGGAAATGCAGCCCGGAATGAGAGTCCTGCTCTGGGAGGAAGGCTGAGGGCCACAGGCATCTACGCCTGATGCTGCCGGTTATCCCCGAAAGGCCGGCTGTTGCACTTTGAAGCTGTTTTTCAGGTGATTGCCTCGTTGGTTACCTTCGCCCCTAAATGCTGAGGATACATGGAGAGAAAGTGGCAGCTCATGCCATCTATTAGTTTTGCTCAAAGAAACAAACTATCCTGCTTTTACCTTAAGGGGATTTTTAAAAAATTCATCACAGATTAGCAGCAGCTCGAACTTTCATATAAAAACACTCTCTGACTAAAGAGCTAATCAACCTTGATTGAGATGAACAAGCATCTAGAAAGCCATGTATATCAGAAGCTGTTTTGACAGATGAACTCCAGGCAGTGTCAGGAGGATTAAGTTGGGACTTTGTCCAGCTGGTCCTTGTGAACTACATGCTCAGATGGGGTCTCACTTCTGGAAGTACTCTGGCTTCAGCGATGGAGGATAGAGAGTGCAACAGGCAGAACATGGGACCTCGTGCTCCCTGCTCATGCCCCGTGAATTCAATTGACTATTACCTTTTCTTCTATAACACAGTCTGTTACTTCACTAGAAAGGCAGGAACATTTAATATCTGATATGCCGGATATTCTTTTTCTGCTCATTTTAGAGGTCACCATGGTGGACCATCTGCCTCCATCTCACCCTGCTCCTACAATCCCTTCTGTCACACCAACCCTTTCTATGTCCTCATTCACAACATCCACCTTCTCTGCGGTCTTCCTCTTTTCCTCCTGCCTGGCAGCTCCATCTTCAACAACCAGTACATCCACTATCCCTCCTCTCAACCTGAGATATCCCTCTGATGATGTCCACATTTCCAATCCTGTCCATCTTGGTTACTCCCAATGTAAATATTAGCATCTCCAGCTCGGCCTCCTGTCTTTTTGTGAGCTCCACCATCTTCAAAACACACATCATTTAAAAAAACAAAAAAACCAAAAAAAACCCCACACATCATAGCAAGTCGACCATCTTGTAAATCTTCCTTTTCACGCCCCTGTCACTCATTTCTACCTACTTCATCCAGCCTGGACCTCTCGCACTGTCCATTACTTTGGAAGATTGACAACCCGTCTCCCTCTCATTCACACACAAATTTTGTCTTGCTTCAGCTGACTTTTCTCTCTTGGACATCTCCATGTTTACACAGGTATCTCATCAGGACCACCTAGCTTTCCACTCTTCATCCTCTTCATAGCTACCCTAATTTCCACCATATTAATCCTCTGCTCCTCTACTTTCATCCATCCATCCATCTCTAACATCCTTTCCAGTTTGGTCTCTCTGTGTGATACATTTCTCTGCCAGATAACGAAGTTAAAAGCTCAGGACTAAAAATGCAGATTATCAATCTCCACTGATGACTCTCTGGAAATTGTTCTGCAGCAGCCATCTTTTGAATTGGACTACATGGACTACATATCTAAAGTTTAAACTTTGCATGGTGTGATTATAAGTCTATTATAAATATATTTTTAAACAGAAGCCATGGCAATTTGGGCAATTATGACTAACTTTCACTGTTTCTGGGCAGCTAGAGGTATATGATTCAACTTCATCTTAAAATAAAAACAGGACATAAAGGTGAGAGTCTGGAGAAAAGTGGGCGAAACTGCAGGATTTGAAAATACGTCATAGCTTTTTGGGATAAATCCACAATTCCAGTGTCGAACTGTTTGCGCAGAGGTTTGTGTGAAGTGTCATTTTGTTATATTCAACATCCAAAAATTACTATTAAAAGCACTGGATACACTTAATTTTTCATATAGCATAGTTGCTGCTGTGGCACGATGGGCATATTTTCAGATGCTTCCATAAATTTAAACAAGTAGTTGACGTGTTTGGATTCCCAAAGAATTTGGACTTGTAACTTGTGTATGTAACTAAAAATAAAAATACTCACACATTGTGTATTTTACAGTTTTGGTAATTAACCTGTGAAGAAAAAAATAACTTTCCAAACC